AGTCCCCCTCCCTACAGGAAGCCACAACCACGTGTCACAGCAGGGAAAATGGCTGCGGATCCTGTTTGACACCCAATGCGGAGTTCACGAACTGAAGCAAAATTTTGCGAACGGTGCTGTTCGTGAACCGAATTGTTCGTGAACAGAAGCGTTCGTGAACTGAGGTACCACTGTACTCTTCTGTCAAGTAGGGGGATAAGTTATATTGCAACATTTTGTTCAGGTGTTGCCTTCAATGAAAATAAGCTAAGAGTGCAAAGGCAAATCCAATGACTATTAGATGAGCTCAAAGAGTTAAAGTTTCCTATACTGTATCTTTTTGCTGCAATCTAGTATTCATGTGGAATTTTGTAGCCCAGATCTGGCAGCCCTAACATGCTTTTATATTAGCAATGTTATTCTAAGGCAACCTAAGTTGCTCACATAACTAAACTATTCATCTTCAACATCACATTGACTAAAACAAGAAGCATTCTGAACGTATTTCACAGGACAGTAGTGCTAAAATTTTGTCTTCCCTTGTGGCAAAAATAAACTAATGACTATAATTAATAGCATCATACAGATATTTTCAAGTGATGATTTTAAAAAATAGTCAGGGCAAGGTCATGCATATAAGTTCAATAAATGAATATCCTCAAAAAATAACCCCAGCTCCTTTTGTATCTTACTCCTTTTTAGAACTTTAAGACCTGAACATAAAGAACTGTCAGCACAATTACATAAATATACCTATAAACTTCCTAACAGCGAGGAAAACTTGGTAAAGTCTTTAGAAGTATCCACATGTCCTGAAATGGTGAGGACAGCATTAGGATGCATATTTTGATCCAAACATACTTTTATTCCTTTGATTGCAAGCTATCTTCCTAGAGGTCTACTAGTTTGATGTGACAGGAGGGCTCAGTATCTCCAATGACCCTAAGCATGATGCTGATAGAAGATGAGCTCCCAATTGGGTCATCACTTCTGGTAAGACTGAAAGAGGAGAGGTGAAGCTAAAAGTAATCCACAACAGGAGGGAACGTAAATGTAACTCTGAAGACATGAGGGAAACTAACCCACCTAGGAAAAGGAACTCCAAAATACAGTCGACAAAGGCAATGGCATACCAATTCTATACTGGTGCCAGAAAAACATAAACACACGACTGAAATATTTAGACAAATTTGGATGCCAGATGATGAGACAGGTACTGTGATAGCTTTCTATGTAAATTGGATAATGTCCGTCACTACAGACCAGAACCTGTGTGTTATCTGATGGTAATGGTGACTAGGAACAACCACTAATTGTTCGTCAGTTTCAGATGTAGGTGCTACTAATGGTAACTCAGGAATTACAACTGATTTTCCAACCATATCAAATGCAGCTTTCTTCAGTATGTACCTGTGTTCTCTTCAGCTGGTCAGTGTGTTCTTCTCCAATGTTACCAGGAGCAATCTTTACAGTATAAGACAGAAATCTTTCTGGTTGTCCGCTTACACTTCCCAATATAGTCTATTGCTAAATTTGTCCAATGGAGAGGGATCACTTTTCAGCATGAGAAGATTGATGAACTCATTTCAACTGTTTCTCCTTAACACTTCTTAAATAAGGTTTGAAAAATCTGTATGAATGTTTTGCCATAGCAAGGCAGTCCATTCCTACAGATGTCATTTTTTTAATATCTTTCAAACATCTAAAAAGTAAAAAGATCCTTCCAAATCCTAGGAAGGCAGGCCATGGTAGTCATAGACAAATTCATGAAGGATAAGATATTTCTGTGACAACAAAGTTCAGAATAGTTAAAGCAATGGTTTTCTGAGTGATAGTGTGTTACTATAAAATGTGGAAGAGTGAAAGATGATAGGCTTCTTTCAGTTGTGGATTTGGACATGTACCATGGACCACAAGAAGAACCACAACCAGTCCCCAAAGAAAAAAGACTAACTGCTCCATCAAGGACACAATTAGCAAGCAGAAACTCACATACTTTGGGCATGTGATATAAGTAGATGATGGACTAGAAAAAACTACTCCCATTGGTAAGACTGAGAAAAGTAGAAGGGAAGATGATTGTTAAGGTAAATGGACAAGCTCAGGGGTATCAGTAGAATGTCCTTAAAATATCTGTAAATTGTTCCAGGAATATTGGAGAGAAGGGCATTTGTCCATTGTTGTTGTTGTTTAGTCGTTAAGTCGTGTCCGACTCTTCGTGACCCCATGAACCATATTGCGCCAGGCCTTCCTGTCCTTCACTGCCTCCCTGAGTTTGCTCAGTTTCATGCTCATTTGTCCATATGGCAACTAATTAACTAATTTGCAGGTCTTAATAGCCTAAGCATGTGGGTATTTGAATGCAACTTCCTATGAGTAAATAGGTTCTGTCCTCTCTTCTACAAAGAAAAGAGATCCTATGTATTTGCCTTGATTATGAAATAATGTTACACAGAAATACCAGGACTTACATTTTTTGGGTTTTGATGCCTTTATCACTTGACTGTCATCATACAAGAGGCAGAACCTACATGCAGCCCGACAAACATCCCACACGCTTTGCTTCCGTGCTGTTTTTGCTATTTCTGACCATAGTCGGATTCTGTAGCAATGATTAAAAATAAAAGTTCATTTTCTTTTAAAAGGACAATACATAACCTAATGCATAAACACATAAGTCTTAAAATAACGTGTTGATTTTTTTTCCAATCCCTTCACCATTAGGGGCCAGAGGAGGCATCTGGGTAATAAAGTAAGAGGATGAATATATCTCTGTGTGTTTCTGTTCTTCCTTCGTGTTTTGCATTTGTGTGTGTCTGTGTGCACTGGGAAGCCTGGGTGGGCTGTGTTTATTACATTCTTATATACTTCCCTCATGTGAGGAAAGGAAGAAAGCTTAGAATTGTATAGTTAGACACTGGTCTGAGCCCCTGCTCAACTGCATCTCCCAGAGGGAGGCACTGTGGGAATTTCTTGTCTGCATCCCCCAGCTGAATGCAGTCCATTGATCTTTCTTTTGTTGACTTCTCCCCAGACAACAGATTTGGTCCCATTGTGTTCATTTTCCAACACATCTGCTCAGAATTTTGAGCCCCTTTACAGAGTTTCTTTCCAATATTACATTGAGTTGGAAAAACAACAAAATCCAGGAACAAAATTTATTATTAATGCTTTACTGATTTTTAAGGTGATGGAAATTGCGGGCACCAGGGTGTAGTTTTATCAAGATAAAAAAAATGTTTAAGAAACAAACAAAATAGCTTCTTTTTAAATATTTGTCCACAACCGTAATTACCTTTCTTTCTCATTTTCATGTCCTAGTCTCTTCAAATGTCCATCTGCTTTCTCTACATTTCTAGTATGGTGCTGTGCTCTTGCACAAAGATAGCTAATTTGATCTTTATTTTTACTTGGAGGAACTAAATGGGAAGGGAGAAAATTTATCATAGTTTGGATTAGATTCATGGCATCACTACTACAATTATTTCACAATGACTAGCTGAGGCATTGGATGAGCAACTGTAAATAAAAGTTCTATAGAAACTACAATACAGGTAGCCCTCACTTAATGATGGTAATTGGGACCAGAATTTACATCGCTAAGTGATGTGATCATCAAGCACAATGTCATGTGACCATGCCACTTAGCAACAGCAGTTCTGGCAGTCCCTGGTTACTATTGTTAAGCGGATCATTGTGGGTTGTTAAGTGAGGACCTCACATGACTGCGACTTCTGACTTCTTGCTGGCCTCCCCATTGACTTTGCTTATAGGAAGCTGGCAGGGAAGGTCTCAAATCTCGATCACGTGACTGTGGGATGTTGTGATGGTCAGAAATCTGGGCTGGTTGCTGAGTGCCTGGATTACAATTACGTGATTGCAGGGCTGCTGTGATGGCTGGAACTTGGAGCACCAGTTGTAAGTACCACTTGTTCAGCACTGTTGTAAGTTCGAATGGTCACTGAATGAGTGGTCGTTAACTGAGAACCACCTGTATCTGAATTCAAGGCAGCAAATCAGTTCAGATTGGAACTAAAGAAATACAAATCAGATACACTCCAATGAAAAAATAAAGATATTTCAAAGGTACCATTATATAATCTGCTGAGTCTAGAAGAAATAATGCTCATCACTTTTTGTAAACAATTATGCTAATGTATCAGTGAATTTAAGTAGAGATTAGCAAATTAAAAAAGCACAGGGAAGGAAGAATGGATTATTTTTAAGCCACAAAACATGAGGCTCAGGATATAATATAAACATATACTGATTGCATCCAAAGCACAGATATCATCACCATCATCACCACCACCACCATCTAATATATTATTGCAAGCCCTATTCATCTGACTGCTTCTATGCATGTGTGCATGTACATGCATTTGCACGCACACATTTCATCTTAGTACCTACAAACTAAATAAGTAGTTAATAAGAAGTGGAAATTTTAACAAAACATTGCAATTGTGATGTGATAAATTCAGGATTCAGATCACTCCACTTCATCTCTCTTTCCCTTCATGGTGAAAGTAGAGCATGCTAATACATCCCATATATGTGGATGGTGCCTTTTAGTTACATAATGGCTGGTACTAAAGAGAAGTAAGCTTGGTATTTAGCACATATAGTATGTTAGAGCAAAGCTAAATGTTATAGTTGCTATTGGAAATAGTGTCACATGTTTATTCCTACATCGCATAAGTATTAATACACAGACAGAGGGCTGTTACAGAACTACATACTTTTAGTTGGGGTTCTGTGGACTCAGGGAGATCAATACCAAAATAGAGATCATGTTTTTGGCAGACGTGTTGCCTTGCATTCCAGTAAGGCTTCTCAGTGCAACAGTTCAGAAATGGGGATTGCCTTGCAGTATTTATTATCTGTGTGTAATTTGAATTTGAATTCTGTCTGCAAAAACCATGATCTCTACTTTGGTACTGATCTCCCTGAGTCCACAGAACCCCAACTAAAAATATGTACAGTGAAACTGGGCTGCCATTATCCCCCCAAATCCTTATGTTACGGAATTTCTATTCCCTAGTCTCTTTTTAAAAATCAAATATAAGCAAAGGTTTTAGGAAACCTAGACTATTACTAATGGAACAGTATAGTAGGTCACTTTCTACTTTTTTGTTTCACTTCCACAGTTTAGAAAAGAAACATGGTGGTGAGATATTCAAAGATAGGGAAACACAAGAACAGAACAATAACTAGGCCATAAAATATGGGTTTCTTTTTTCCTTGAACAATTTGCACAAGGAATCTAAGGTGACGGGAACTGATTTTAACCATTTCCCTACTGTCACCTGCTATATTCTCTGAGAATAAGTCTTAAACCTTCTTGCCTTTTGGAAAGCACTTAAAACCTGGCTGCTTGCCCAGGGATGGGAACTGGGAAGTTAGTGAAGCCCAGGTGGTTTGTTATTACTCAAATGCATTTATTTTTTTATTTAGATTATGTATCATGGGTTTTTACAGCTATTTATATTGTTTTAATTCTGAAACTTTTTCACTGCCCAGAGTTGCTTTGGCGAGAGTGGCAGCCGTATAAATAAGATAAAATAAATAAATAATAAACCATTCAAAGGGCTAGGGGTTTTTATAGGCTCAAAACACTGAAAAGTTCACATGCGCATACACACACAAAACATGGATGTATTTCAGAAGTCAAGGAAATATTTAAGTGGTACAGATATTTAAAGCAGCATCTTTTCAAGTCTTCCCAGCCTACATTTTTACCAGCTTTCTTTAATTAAAGCTCATCTCTAATTTGTACAGAATGTCTACCAACTGTTTGCTGAAAAGCTTTGGATTTCTTATGGCTTGAGGGAACAGAGTTTTCCCTGAAGTGCTAAACTACCATAAACAATTTATGTGGAATATTTTGAAAATACTTTTTGCCCATAATGATCTTAATTAGTCTCAAATTAAGTTCATGACTCTACAGGAAAAAAATCCTGAAAACGTAATTTATTATCTTTGATGCTTGCTTTTAACAAGAGCCATTCTGTTTGGTGATAAAATGGCTCCAACCAAAGTGAGGACTGGAGGCAAGAAAATGGCTCTTCTTCTCATGACAATCAGGTTGTGCAGCCTGACCCCAGATGTGAGAGGTTGCCATTGATTATTGAGGAAAGGGGAGGGCACACAGAAGAGGTCACTACTAATGGAGCATTCTCAAAAATTAATCACCTGACTAGGACATTATTTAATTCTTCCAATTTCAATAAGGGATCACTGAATCCAAACTCAGTTAGGCAAAGGGGGTGATATATCTCAGTTTTGCCATCGTAGAAAACCTAAATTACCTTTAGCTTCATTTTCACTATCAAGGACAACCTGAAAAGCCTCTGGTGCTAGTGCAAGGCCAGCATTCACCAACAGAGAGCGTTTTTTCCTCACGTTATCATTTGCAGTTCCTTTTTTAGCCTAGAGAGAAAAGGCCTAGTTATTACACTGGTAAGAAATGCAATAAAATATGGTGATATATGAAAAGGACTGCTTCTGTTCAGGATTCCATCCCAATTAGCTATGCCCCTCCAAAATATTTTTCCCCTCCGTTTTTTTTTCCTTCCACACAACAACCAGATTTGATCTTTTGCTGCAACTATGTCAGTGCTGGCTCCTCCCAACCAACCAATGGAAAGCAACAAAAAGAGGTGGCCACCACTTCTCTGTCCAAGGCTTTCTATTTTTCTCACATGGAGTTTCTGTGGCAAGCGAGGGGGAGAAAGATGGATTTGTTGGGGCAGTTCTCTGGTAGGGAAGGGTAGGAGAAAGAGGCCAGGGTGCCATGGACCTTGGCCTCCAGAGACAGAGGGAATCCCAGGCTAGGAGGAAGAAGGAGGCCAGAGTTCTTGCCAATTAGAAGATGCTCTCTCCTGCAGCTCCAGAGGAAGAAGAAGCTATTATCAAAATGATCCAAATCGATTCACTTGTAGAATGAACTGGCTTCAAGATACCTGGAAGCCCACTAGTGTCCTGGGGACACGTAAGGGACAGGCAGATCAGCAAATCCCTTGCGTGTAGTTGGGGTGCAAGGGAAACGCTTACTCTGGGGCATGTTCACTCCTTATGGGGTTTTCAGAGGGGAGGAGAAATTTTCCCTTTCATATCTTTTATTGACTTGGGATTCCCAAAAATCAGTATTAGCTACAATTAGATATAACTAGCTACAATTAAGATATAATTTTAAAACGTATGCATGTCTGCGTAATCCTAAGAAGTATTACAATAATATTTTGTGTGACAAGAGAAGGAAATTACAGTTTTTTTACAGTAACTTAAGTGAAATATTCTAATTCCACACAACCTGATCCAGTAGCTCTAATGCACTTAGGTATTGCTGAACCCATTGCAGAAGAAAACAAATCAGCTTACACCTGTCAATTACATCCTGTAAATACCTGAGATCTATAGATATTTTGACCTGCTCTGTTTGTGAAAGAACTTTCCCCGTTTTATTATTATAATATAATAATTATAAGCATTTTTCTGAAGAGCTATGCTTCTGTTGTGACTGCTTCTTTATTACTTTAAAAGTTGGTACAATCATATCAGCTAATTCCACTCCCACCAAAGGTTTAGGATACACGAAGAAACCACAGTATAATTTAGGACATTTCCTGAACAAGTTTACAAAGGCTAGCATTTTTTTCCTCTTATACTATTGTCTTCTAACTTTTGGGCTTGCAGGAATAATACCATTTGCTGCCAATGTATCCATACACACCCTAATTCATACTGAGTTTTCTTCATGTATTATATATATAGTTTCTCAGATCCAGAGGGACTGTGCAACTACAGAAAATACATAAAATCATACGTATGATCCTAATAGTATTGTTAAACATATTAAAACACATCCATCTAACAAAAACCGTTATTAACTTTATTAACTTTTCAAAGGACATTTGAGAGAGTCATTTAGTGAGGCAAAAGTTTTTACTTAAGATCCTCTTTGGGCAAAACAAATGGGACTTCCAATCTACCATAGCACTTTTGTTTTCCATTGTTAATATAATATGCAAATTTTAAGTTTTAATTACTTACAAAACTTTCTATCCTCAAGGTTGCAAAGATCAGCCCAAATAAAATAGGGAAATTAGGCAAACAACTATAACTAATTCTAAATGCTTCCTAAATTAGGAATGGAAATAGAAAAGAAAAATAAATTATGAGCTTCCAGTTCACTGGTTTCTGAAGGACTCCCTTTAGAATTTTTTTGATAGCTAGTAACTTCAGAATACATACATAAAGGGGGAAAACTAGAATATCCATCACCTATCAGCATGCATCATTCAAACTCAATTTGATTCCCCCAGAATATACATATGTTGGCCTCAACCCTTTATTTTAAATAAGATCTTTTCTGCTGAAGAGGAATAACTAGTGAACTGAATCATATTTGGATATGTAGTATGCCAGATCAAAATAGCTTAAGTTCTTTTGATATCAGATATACTATAATATTGAAATATGCGAAGGTTTTAAAGTTGAGGACCATACTCCAGGAAGTATGTGAAACTAGAACAAAATTCTGATTTTATTTCATTTACATAAAACTTAATTAAAATAAATGCATTAAATATAGTTGATATGATCACTCCCCAACTATTAAATAGTTTATCTCTTATCATACTAATCACAATTTGTAACAGCTGGGGGGGGGGGCTCCAAAGGCTAGAAATGAAAAGTTTTCACGACATAGGCAGTCTTGCTTCTTCAAATTGTACCAATGCTCTAATAACATATCCAACAGTTACCTGTTCAATCATCAAACTTGCTTGGTCTTCTAGACGCTCCAATGACTTATATAGCATGGTGTTTAAACTAAGCCGATGGAAAGCCATTTTGAGGTATTCATGGTACTGTCCATTGTTATCGAGGTTGATGGCCTTTTCTAAATGTTCCATTGCAGTCTCTACTCTGTCTGCTTTTTCTTCAATGCGAGCAATTTCCATATGTACTTGACAACGCAACAAAACCAACATACTAGGAAATAACCACATCTATTTTCAATTACACAGATTAAGATATTCTATATAAACTTTCTCCTTATGCAATGCATATATATTACAATTAGTTTTTTTATTATTATTATTCCATTTGCAAGCAAGCAAGAGTTATCTGAATTTGCACATTACTTTTGCCTCCGAATTTGATGCCCTCCAGGTGTAATCTTCACTAACAGGAGAGTACAAGATGAAAAATTATACTTAGCAATAGCACAGGCTTTTGAGGATCCATCTACATTGTTTAACCTATACTACAAATGTTATTTTAAAGGTGAATTAAGCCAGTTTTAAATAGTCTAATTTTAGGAAAGGTGATCAAGCAAGAGGCGCCCTTGCAGTTCCAAACGTATCTGAATGATATTGATCATTTGGATCATTTCAGTTGGGCTTTCAGCCAGGATATGGTACAAAAATTGCTTTGGTTAATTTAATAGATTTATTTATTAAGTTATTTTTATGCCACCTACTTCAGTCACTCTGAACCTATCCTGAGAAAAGGATGGGGAGAGTGTGGCTCTGCTAGTTCTCCCGGACTTCTCAGTGGTTTTCAGTACCACCAACCAAAGCCTGACATGAATAGATTTTTGGGCACTGGCCCTACCTGTTTGGTTATATCCAGAAAGTGATGCTGGGGGACTACTGATACCTATTCTGGGACCTGATAGTATATTACAGGTTTTCATCCTATCCCCCATACTGTTTAATATCTATATTAAACTGCTGGAGGAATGCATTCTGGAGTTTATGCTAATGACAGCAGGTCCACTTCTTCTTACCATCCACCTCCAGCAAAGCAATTGGTACCCTTGAATATAACCTGAATCTGATAAATGGGCTAGTAGGGGAGAACAAGCTTAAATTAAACCCAGAAAAGATAAAGGGTGCTTTTGGTGAATATTAGACTTAGAATATTAAATTTAGCAAGTTTGCAATAGTGAATACATCCTGATCTTCACTTGATTCACAATTTGCCAGCTGCAATCTTTCCTGAGCTAGCTGACTTGCCATTGGTTACATCCTGTCATGATTACCGCAATATGTTCTGTGTAGGACTACCCTTGAAATCTGTCCACAAATGTGGCAGTTAGGCTGTTAACCAGCATCAGGCACAGAGATCATTCGGTGCCTCTATTAAGATATCCGCAATGGTTGCCAGTTGTTGGTACTGCATTAGTATTGGTATATCAGGTATTGGCATTTAAACAGGTATTTAGGATCTAAAGACCTAAATGGCTTAGGGCTTATCTAAGGTAAGCCTCTTCTGTTACAATCTGTCTGGGAAGATGCAGAAAAGTTCTTTCTGAAGAACCTTCTGCTGTCAGAGGATCATCTTTCTAGCATACCAGAGAGGGCCTTCTCCTGTATTGTACCCAGGGGGTGGAATGCATTTCTTCAGGAACTGATCCTATCTTTCACCATTTAGAAAATATACAGTATAAGCATGTATCTCTTTCACCAGGCTTTTGATTGTGAAATTATTTTAATACCAATTGTATGTTAATTTTAATTTATATTTTTGTATTCTACTTTTGTAGTAATATTTGTTAGCTGCCTTGAGTACTCGGATGTAGAAGAACATGGAGATAAGCTTGAGGAAGGTATGCAGGAGCCATTAAGGGAAAATAAATGACCACTCAGTCTTGGGCAAGGGGAGGGGTTGAGAAAAAGACTCAAAATAACCCCACCTTGATTCTTCTTGGTATAAGAGGGGGCAGAGGGAAACTCTGGCAGAGTTTCACAATTTACAGTTTTCACAATTCTGTTATTACAGCCTATAACAATAAAGTAGCATTCCTATAATTTTTTCAAAGTCTGTTTCCTGACATCAGGTTGACTTCAGATAAATCAGTAAATAAGTTCATCACATATTAAGCTAACAGATATTATGCCATATAAAACAAAATGGAGGGCAGACCAAGACCAATTTACCTGTCGATCTTCTCTAGCACCTCAGCAATCGCTAACAGTGGTTTTCGTATGTGGTGTTGTAAATTGTGTTGCAGCAGTGGTAAGCAGATATTCCATTGAGTAGCACATACTGCCTGAATAATATTAGGATCTCTCAGCCGAATTGCACGATTCAAAATTAAATCAAGTTTTTGTATAACTTTTAACTGAGCCTGTAGGAATAAAAATATAGTTTGCATTTATTATGGAAGCAATGTTTTTTGAACCTAATCTAAAAGCTCCCTCTTCATTGGGGTAGCATATTGGGTGGATCTGTTAATACTATTCAATTTTTTCATTTTCCTCATTTGTGCCTTTTTATTGGGGTAGTCACACACTATTCACCTGGAAGCACAATTTATGATCTACACAAACAACTGATTTCTGAATTAATAGACCATTCTCTTATTTTTTAACTTGGCTCCCTTACTTTAAAGAGAGACAGATACTGAAACTGTAAATTTAAAGTGGAGGGTGCAGCCACCTTTACAAAATAGCATTAATTAAGGAATAAACATACCTTGACAACACTTTTAGTATAAGTTTCAATTTTAGACCCAAGTGTTTGGACTTCACAGTCACATTCCAAGCATTCTAATTCAATTTCTTTTCCTGGATCCTATTAATATAAGCATAATTTAATTGAAGAATACAAATAATCAGGAATGATCTCTACTGCTTTCAAATGTTTCAATATAACGTTCAGGTTTAGTGCTTATAGATATAGGGACCTAATTTACACATAACATTGAGTCATAATGTGATTTGGTTGTGGGTTTGGAGTTTGGTTTTTTTGTTTTTTTTGTTTTTTTTGTATACCATGATACGTGAAATATTTATTTATTTATTTGACTTATATGGCCGCCCATCTGGTAAAACACAACTCTGGATGGCTCATAACAATCATAAAACCAAACACAAGAAAAACCAAGAAAGCAGGCTTTTGACCCACCATCTCCAATCCATCAATCTATAGTTATTATTTTTTCAACAAAGTATAACTAAAATATATTGACTTAGTATTATGTGTGATGTGATATTCATAGGTATCATCATGCAGATTCTAGAAAGTAAACTTACTCATGGGGAATTTTATGCAAGCCTATTTAGAAGCTAACATCACTGGGTTTACTGAGACACAGGCCATCTCCCGACTCATAAATTGTACCAACGTAGAGCTTTACCCGGCCTCAGTTAGGCAATATATAGCTGTCCTCATTACTTATACATTGGCCCAATGATGGCTGGATGACACTAGAAGATACAGGTAGTCCTTGTTTAGCGATTGTCTCATACAGTGACCATTTGCAGTTATGATGGTGCTGAAAAAATAACTTTGCAACCAATCCTCACATTTATGACCTTCGCAGGTCTGTAAAGCAAAGGAAAGCTGAAGTAAGATCATAAGCACAGTTGCAGTTTCACTTACTGACTGCTTCACTTAACCAAGTTGCTGGTCCCAATTGTGGTCACTAAAGGAGGACTACCTGTACTATTATTCAGTAGTGGTGAAGTGGCCATGATTCCAGATAAGCAAATACAGAATTGCAGTAATACGTTTACTACAAGAAAAACTTGAAATTCCATGGGCCTTAAAAGGAACAAATTTTCTGTAATATAAGTTTTTGTGCCTTTATCTGATGCATTAGGTGTTATATTCAGCTGACAGTCGAAACATGCCAGACTATAACTTTTGGTCTTCATGTTGTACGGTTTTTCTCTATATCCATAAATCTGTCAACTGATAATAGTCCATTCATCTGATGCTGAAGACAATAGTTCACAAAAATTATATTAAAATCAACTGTAAAACTTTAAATTGCTACAAGATTTTCTGTTGGCACACAGAGTCTTCACAGATTAAACATGAGTTTTGGTTATGTGAGACTGGGCTGAAGCTGCCATAACCTAAAGATGAAGCAGGCACGTAAGCAGGGAGGACAAAAGCCAGGAAACTTATCTATGAGATCCCTTCAGGGAGGTAGATAAG